GCCACCCAGCCCGAATTTTTCGTTCCTAAGCAGCAACACCACACCATCCTTCTGCCACAAACTTTATGCAGCATTTCACAATATTCAGAACATGTTCATATACTTATTTTCAAACATATTTGCTAGCTGATGTTGGGTATAGGATGCTAACATGTGTTACTTTTATGTTACATTTTTTTAACTCTGTGAAGATGTGATACTTTGCCTGTCTAGAAAACCTGATGGTCTAATACAGATCTGAACGGCCACAGTGAGGCAGGAGAAAAGGTAGGTGGGGCTGGCAGGCAGAGAATATATAGAAGGAGAAATCTGGGAGAGAAGTGGCCAGAGAAAGAGGAGGACATCAGGGGTCAGCCATCTAGCTACAGCAATCCATGGAGTAAGAGTAAGATTTACAGAAGAGAACAGGAAAAGTCCAGAGGCAAAAGGTAGATGGGGAAATAGAAGTTCAGAAAAGCTGGCAAGAAACAAGCCAAGTTAAGGCTGGATATTTATAACTAAGAATAAGCTTCCATGTCATTTATTTGGGAGCTGGATAGTGGGCCCCCCAAAAGAGCCAAAAATAAAAGAGTAAAAACCATCACACTGCTACTACAAACTGACACAATGGTGACATGGAATTCAGGTGCCTAAGGCCAGAGCAAAGCAGTACACATTCTGGGCCCTAAGTTTCTCTACTGTGGGTCTAATTCTAGACTTACAGCTATAGGCAGTAGCTAAACGAAAACCAATAAAATTCACTACAAAAAAAGAAAGGACAATATGGCTCCTCAGCGATTTATAAAGTACTCAGGTAAGAGTTTAAAAGAGTGACTTAAATTCAAAGTCTTACCTTGCTGCATTTCAGACAGCCTGCTAGAAATTTCTTTATCTCTACATCATTTCCAGGTAAAAGCTTTAATGACAGGTGAATAAGATGCTTGAAAGGATTTGTCTCCACGACATTTAAAAATACTGGCAAGTTATCCAAAAGAGTCGCTGAAGAAATGAGCTGCAGCAGAAACCTTGGAAGAGAAAAGCCACATTCTAGCACGCAGAACTGTGAAACCCTGCCGCTGCATCATGGACTTCGACTCAGACCATGAAGTAGGGAAATTAAAAATCATAGGGGTTATGAGTAAGAGGCTACGGGAAAAGATAAGGAGGAGTATGACGGTGCTGAACGAAAGCAGTCCTTGAGTTCATAGCAGGGGACAAAAGAGGAAACAGAGAGAAAGAAAAAACTAAAAACAAAAACTCAGCATACCACAGGGGAGACCAGAGTACCAGCTCCTTACTCTGGCAACTGCCCTTTAAATTACGGACTATCCTTTCCCCTGGAAACTCTCAGAAGGATCACATAGCCTTGACTCACAAGACAAAGGCCTTTATAGAAGAATTATACCTAATAAACATAAAAAAAAGTGTGTGGGAGTGGAGGGCAGGTGGCGCAAGCCTTTAATCCCAGCACCAGAAGGAGAGGCAGGAGGCTCTCTGTGAACTGGAGGCCAGTCTGGTCTACACAGTAATATAAGTTCCAAAACAGGCAGCACTTCATAGTAAGACCCTGTATTAAAAAAAAGAGGAGGGAAGTCAGAAGTTTGTGGTGCACTCCTTTAATCTCAGCACTTAAGGCAGAGCCAGGTTGATCTCTATAAATTCAAGGCCAGTCTGATCTACAGAGCGAGTTCCAGGGCAGCCAGAACTATACAGAGAAACCCTGTTAAAAAAAAACAAAAAACAAAAAAAAACTACTACAGAAAAACACTTCAGAGTTTCTAATATAACAAGATATTAAACAATAGTCAACAGTTGTTCAAGCCAAGAAACAGTCCAAGGTGAACTTATCATGATCAGGAGTCAGCAGCACATGACCATGAACGTAAATGCAATCACTAGCTATTAAATAGTTCAACTAGCTTGGTGCTGGAGAGACGGCTCAGCAGTTAAGAGTACTTGCTGCTCTTTCCAAGGACCTGAATTCAATTCCTAGCACCCAGGTTGGGGAGCTCACATCTCTAGGAGCTGCAGCTCTAGGAGATTTGACATACCCATCTGGCCTCCAAGGACCCCCATACACACAGAGACACATAAATAAGAAATGAATCTTAGGCTGTGTAGTGGTAGCATACACCTTTAATTCTAGCACTAAGAAGGCAAAGGCAGGGGAATCTCTGTGAGTTCAAGGCCAGACTTGACTATAGAGTGAGTTCCAGGACAGCCAGGGCCACACAGAGAAACTCTCTCAGAAAACCAAAAAGAAAAAAGAAAAAAAAAGAAAGAAAAAGAAAAGACGAAAATTAATAAATAAATCTTGGTAAAACAATTATTTAAGCTAACTTTAAAAGTTGCATCAAACCATGTAAATTAAGGTTCAAATATTTCTTTTTTTTGTTTTGTTTTGTTTTTTAAAGATTTATTTATTATGTACACAGTGTTCAGCCTCCATGTATGCCTGCAGGCCAGAAGAGGGCACCAGATCTCATTACAGATGGTTGTGAGCCACCATGTGGTTTCTGGGAATTGAACTCAGGACCTCCGGAAGAGCAGTCAGTGCTCTTAACCTCTGAGCCATCTCTCCAGCCCCCAAATATTTCTTATTTTAGTCAAGATTTCTTTTTTATTTTATTTTATTGTGCATTGGTATTTTATCTGCATGTATGTATGTATGTATGAGGGTGCTGGATCTCCTGAAACTGGAGTCACAGACAGTTGTGATCTGTCATGTGGGTGCTGGGAATTGAATTCTGGTCCTCTGGAAGAGCAGCCAGTGTTTTTAACCACTGAGCCATCTCTTCAGCCCCGAGTTAAGATTTCTTAAAATTTGGGGTTTAACTGACCCCTAATCCCAGTTTTAAAAAATAAATAAATAAAGGGGGGCATTTGTAATACATGGAAAATAATTTTGTATCAATTATCTCTCAAAGAGGAGTCTGTGTAGAGGTCTATTACCATGGCACTCCCAAGTCTCACCTTGGAGTCTCTTTCACATGTTCCTGGGTACACTGCTGAAGGAGGTCTATAAATTTCTGTGGAAAAGCTAAGAAGTCCACCAGGAGACCTTGCTGCAATTTTAAACTATACAGAAAACAGAAAAACAGTTCTTCAGAAACTTAATTACTATCTTTAGTTATCATTCATGGACTAAAATATTCTTTATTTACTAATGTCATCACTATTTAATGTTACCCCTAAAATCCGAATCCCCAAAACATCACAAGACTGTATTTGCTGCAAAAGCAAAGAGTAAAAAAAAACTAAACTAGGGAACTTTTGATTTGAATCAACCTTATCTAATGGGAGTTGAGAAATTTAGCCAAAACATCAAAATTCTGAGCTATTTAATATGTAATAATATAAAAACTAATAATCTATAAAACATTTATCTTTTAAAATAGCCTGTCAACAATTATAAGACAGTCAGTATTCCCAGAATAACTTACCATCTGAATAGGTAGGTATATGTTTCAAAAAAGAACAATGTAAACACATAAAATTCGGGAAGTAATTTCTAGACTATACATAGGGCCAGTAAATATAAAGGACTCACCTTTGAAAATCTTCCTCAGATATAACAAGGTTATACAGAAAAAATGGATCTGTATCGTCAGTCAGACGGATGACTAAATCCTAAAGAAAAGAATACTTTTTTAAAAAAATGTTTTCAGTAGATCTTTTGTAAAAATGAAATTATTCAACAACATCAATATATCAGTTGTATGTCAGAGTCCTGTTTGCTGGCACTGCTTAATTTTACTAGTCTTGAGAGAGTAAGTCTGTTAAACAGGGGCAGACATTCAACTCCACAAGACCTGCATGGGGTGTGCAGAAGCTGGTGAAATGCTGGAAGTTAGGGCATCTTCTACGAGGTCAGAGAAGGGGAGAGCAGCTTTGCACTCTGGCACCAATGCAAGACTCAAATTAACTGGTCTGGTATTTCAAAAGCAGCAAACACAATCAGCAAAACTGACAATCATCTACTCAAGAAAAAGAAGGGGCTTTTGTCACTCAGACGGTGAGTATCAGGTGACATGTTTCCAGGGCTTCCCAGGAGGCCTCCCACTCCAGCTGCCCACTAAAGGGACAATCCATCTGTTTCCTTTTCTAATGAAATGGGTTCCTTTCATAAAGACACTTGCCAGGTTGTTAAATTCTAAGTGTGACAGAAATCACAGCTGACAGGCAGGTACACAAAAACGAGCAACTTCAGTGAACACTGGCCCAAGGAAAACCCACACACCTTGTAAGAGGGGCTAACAAAGAACCTGAAGAAAGTCTACTCATTTCTAAGGAGCCTCTAGGGGATTGGAAACATTGAAGTAATTTATTAAAAAGGCTAAAAAAAAAAAAAAATGAAGAGGTACCATATGTAAGATTAACACGTAAGAATGTTACTCTCTGTTCTAGAAAATCAACAAACTGGGGGTTTACTCTACCTCAGAACAGCTTGTGATCCAGTAACCTCTACTTAAGTACGTCTTCAAAGTTGCCTCAGATGCTACTGAAAACCAACAGCAAGCCAAAAGCTACAGTTACTGCTAACTACAACAAGCTTGCATGTGTTCAGGGAAAGTTGCAACACAGAAAACATATGCTACACTTAGTCCTATGGCCTATATCTTTAGTGCTGTCAAGTTTTTTTTTTAAGATAGGGCATCAGTTATATAGCCCAGGTTGGATGCCAAAGAACTCTCAATCCTTCCTCCTCTTGAATACTGGGATTACAGGGATGTATCACTACATTCAACTCAATTTTGAAGTTCACATCAAATTCACACTCTAAATCAAAATGTAAAGTAAGCTAATTTTTTAAATGCTCAGAGCATACCCAGATTATTATATCAATCCCTAATTCTTCTTGGATTTAGTAATACATGGTATAATTAAATTTAAACGGCTGGCTTAGATTTCACCACCCTATGCTTGCAACAGTTATAAAACGACCCAAAAATTTTAAAAATGAATTTAACAAGAGTCATCTTTTTTAAACTCCATAATTTTATTATAATGGCAAAAAGACCAGGAGAGAACAAGTAGTTCACCACTACCATAAACTGGACAGCAGAATTTCTCATCTTTGGGGAAACGCAAGAGTCAGCATATGTGGAATACAATGGATAAGCCCCACCTGGTAAACCCACCTTAGTGATTATAGGATGACTAAGTATAGGTAAGTACAGCTCTCATTTTCTTAAAACAAAACAAAACCACAACAATAATTACATCACACAAATGCTCATATTTCAAAAGGAAATAGATACCAACCTTTCTGTGCACTGGATTAGAAAGTGACTGTAGTTCAATGCTCACTCTGACACTTCCTCTCCTGAGAGGATGAAAAGACAGGAGCAACTCAGAAATGTTCAAGCGACATGAGTTCCACTACCCAAACACCAGTTAACCATCCTGACCACAAGCCTCTCCACAGGTGTCCTCAAGCTTATAAACAGGTTCTAGAATGTACACTGGGCATGGCTGCTCTAATAAATAACAAGTAATCCTTAATGGAAGGCTTAATTTTTGTCACTTTTAAAATGAAGATGCTGTGGACTAAATGGGGCGAACAATCAGAGTGCCTATTGCTTGTAATCTGGTAAGTAACTTACTGCCAGATTCTAAATAGCATCTACTAAGACAGACCATCAATTTAGTAACAACTTTTAGTTAGATCTGAAAATTACCACTGCAATGATCAAACTGACTTACAAAGAGATACTATCTTAAAAAGTTAAAATAGTATATTTACATTATTTTTATACTCAAGGAAATGACAATCACTATCCTGTTACATACATTAAGTATTTTAAACCCAAAAGCAAATCTACATAAAACATTCTCTATGCAATATATTCATATAAGTATTTTCAACTCACTCTCTCATTCACTCTGAGAGAGTGAAGCTACAACACTCCACATTCTATGCAGTCTCCATTATGAACAAGGATTAAAAGTAGTAATAGCATTAAACTGAGAAACAAAATTAATAAAGATAAAATTAGTGAAAAATATTTATGTATCTCAAAACTATTCTGCTAAATTCAGCAACAAGGGCCTTTCTTTGATATGTGTGTGGGGGTAAACAAATTTGTGGTGGTATGAATATGAATGGCCCCCATAGGTTCACATGTTTGAACACTTGATCCCAAGTTAGTGGAACTTCCAGAAGGATGAGGAGCTGTGACCTTTGGAGAGGGGTCTGTCATTGGGGATTGGCTTTGAGGTTTCAAAGGACTTGGATCATTCCCAGTGTAGTCTATCTCCTGCTTGCCCTCAGATGTTGCTTCGGGTACCTGCTACCTCCCACTCTGCCATCATGGACCCTAATTCTGAAATTTAAGCCTAAAAGAAGCATTTCTTTTATATGTTATTGTAGTCATGGTCTCTTATCACAGCAATAGAAATGTAACTAAAACAAAATTGAATCTGCTCAAGTGTAAATTCTTCTAAAGATTTGGTTTAAACCCTTTCCATATTCTACTTATCTACAACAGAAGTAAAAAGACTAGACAGACACAGCAAATGACAATGGGTGGGGAAAGTGGAAAGGGATAAGATTCAACTGCTAAGATCTAGGTTAAGCTTGGATTTGCAATTCTATATTGTTTTAAAATGTATCATTTTAGCCGGGCAGTAGTAGCACATACCTTTAATCCCTGCTTTCAGAAGGCAGAGACAGGTGGATCTCTGTGAGTTCGAGGCCAGTCTGGTCTACAGTGCGAGTTCCAGGACAGGCTCCAAAGCTACACAGAGAAACCCTGTCTCTAAAAACAAAAGAGAGAGAGAGAGAGAGAGAGAGAGAGAGAGAGAGAGAGAGAGAGAAGAAAAAAAGAAAAGACATACACACAACCAATGAGAAAGTTTCCTTTATCTACGTTTAACAATTATTTGTATATTCTCTCTCTGCATTTTGGTAAGTTTGGATAAAGGTTTGTCTATTTTTGTCTATTTTGTTGATTTTCTGGAAGAACCAATTCTTTGTCTCATTGATTCTTTGTATTGTTTTCTTTGTTTCTATTTTGTTGATTTCAGCTCTCAAGTTGATTATTTTCTGCCATCTAGTTCTCTTGGGTGAGTTTGCTTCTTTTTGTTCTAAAGTTTTCAAAGGTTCTGTTAATTCACTAGTGTGGGATTTTTTTCCAGCTTCTTTATGTAGGCATTTAGTGCTATGAACTTTCCTCTTAACACAGCTTTCATTGTGTCCCATAAATTTGGGTATGTTATGTGATCATTTTCATTGAATTTTAGGAAGTCTTTAATTTCTCCCTTTATTTCTTCCTTGACCCATTGATGCTTCATGTGAGCATTGTTTAATTTCCATGTATTTGTACACAGCAGCAAAAAATAATGATATCTTGATATTTGCAGGCAAATGGATGGAGCTAAAAAACATCATACGAGTGAGGTAACCCAGACCCAGAAAGACAATTATCATATGTACTCACTCATAAATGGTTTTTAAACATAAAGCAAAGAAAACCAGCCCACAAATCACAATCCCAGAGAACTTAGACAACAATGAGGACCCTAAGAGAGACATACATGGATCTAACCTACATGGGACGTAGAAAAAGGCAAGATCTCCTGAGTAAATTGGGAGCTTGGGAACCTTGCTCCCCATGGGGGAGGGCTGAAGAGGAGGGGAGAGGAAGGGAGCAGAGCAGAGAAAAATGTAGAGCTCAATAAAATCAATTAAAAAAAGAAAAACCCAAAACCACATCTAGAAATATGTGGTAGGAAAATCTGAGTTTGCAGCTATAGCATCTCAAACCATAAATCTTATTTGCTGTTTTAGAAAGATCCATGATATAAGAGCATTAAAACAAATAAAATCCCAATGAAATACACTACTTATCTCGAGTACACACATTTTAAACATTGTTTGTAACCGAATAACACCCTCTAGACCAGTCAGATCTAGCCAGGTTGGTTTACTTATTTTTAAATAAAGATCTTAAACATTAGACACCAGAGCTGGAGTTCAGCCCATTGCTGCCATCTAGAAGCTGTGATCTTATCCTCTCAGTGCACAAAAAACAAAAGCTGCTGTAAGCCAGGTACTCTGCTGGGTGCTAAGGATACAAACAGAAGCAAACATGGTTCATGTCCGCAAACTGAAGTCAGACCAAGTTACCTAGATTCATCTGATTGTTTTAGGGCTCAAGAGACAGAAAAGAAGAGCTATTAATGTCTACTGAGTACCTATACTGCTGGATACTCGAGAAAAGAGAGAGAGAGAGAGAGAGAGAGAGAGAGAGAGGCAGAGAGTCAGAGAGAGAGCGCTATCCCAATCAACAATAATCTTGGTGGTTATTTCCCTTACAGAGAAGAACCCAAGGCACATCACAAAACCCAAATTTGAACTTATCTCTTTACTACATAATGATACCTAAAAAATGATTAATTAATCTCAACTTAGGCACCCAGTTTTATAGCTGGTCTCAAACTCACAGAGTGTCACCTGCCCCTGCCTGAATGCTAGAATCCCACTACACCTGGCCATCTAGTCAACTTTAAAGATCCTTATTGGAAAGGGATTTAAGCTATATCTTGGGGTGCTGGGGAGATGGCACAGTCAGTAACTGCCTGTCACACAAGCATGAGGATCTGAATTTGACCCCCAGTACCCAAACTAAAAGCTGTGTGTGGGACTGGGGAGACAGCCCAGTGGTTAGAAGCACATACTTGTTCTCTCACAGTCTGCACCCCAGCCCACACCAAACCATCCACAAAGGTCTCACCCCAGCTCCGAAAGACCTGCCACTCGGCTCCCTTTCCAGGCACATATGCTCACTCCCACAACAACACCCCCCACATGCTAAGATACAAACACACCACACATGCTAAGACACACACACACAGACACACGCGCGCGCGCACGCACGCGCGTGCGCTAAGACCCATGTACACAAATAATTTTTTAAATCAATGTGTTTGTATACATCTGTAGCCATAGGGGTCGGGACAGTGTAATGTCAGGAGATCCCCAAGGCTCACAGGTCAGCCAGTCAGTCAATTAGTTTGTAAGGTACTACGTTCAATGAGACCATGTCCCAAAAAATAAGGCGGAGAGTCAGCAAGATAAGTCAGTGGGAAAGACACTCGCTCCCAAGCCTGACAGGCTGAATTCCATCCCTGGAACCCACAAAACCTACATGGTCAAAGAAGAGAACAGACTCCTCCAAGTTGTCCTCTGACCTCCACAAGCAAACTGTGGCACACATCCCCTCCCCTCCCTCCTCTCCACAGACATTAAATATATACATGCAATTTCTTAAAAATGAATTTTAAGGTGGAGACCATTTTTAAAAAGATACCAGAAGCCAACCTCTGGTTTCCATACTCATTCATACACATATTGACACATACATTGCACACATGCACAGCACACGACAGAAAAGACAGACAGACGCACACACACAGACACCTTGGGAGTCATGAAAGAATGACCCAAGGCAGAGGAAGAGCACGAGTGGAGCCATGGTAGAGAGAGCACAGGGCATTAAGAAGAGTTCAGGTCCTCTGACTACAGAAGAGAGTTTAGGGATCAAAACGAAAGAGCGGGTGGCTATCCAATGCTGGGTTTAGAGATCTCACCATTTCTCCCAGGTAGGGTTCCCTGAGAGTTACAATACCCTCTACCCAACTGCCTTCCCTTCTTCTATGCCTTTATTATACTTTATTAGACTACTTATGCAATCACACCTGACTAATAACTAAGGTTTAGGGAATATTTAATATATACTAGTTGCTATTATAAGCACTTTGCATGCATTAAACTATTTCATCTTCAATAACAATACTATGAGGTAGGTACTATTATTCTGAATTTAAAAATGAGAAAAAAAATGCTAATAAACTGTGTAGGGTTGGGGCTGGGAGTACAGTACAGTGGTAAAGTCCATGATAGCATATTGCAAGGACATGAGTCAATCCACAGAAACACACACACAGTAAACAAACTGTCTTTAGTCTTAAAGAATCTAAGTTGTCTTTCCTATAGGGGTTAGCAGAATTACTCTGCACGAAGCCAGAGAGTAAATATTTTAGACTTTGAGTTTCTGTCACAACTGCCCCCCGCACCTGCTACTGTTGCTATTGAGTGCTGAGGACCGAGGCACATCCTACAATAAAGACCACAGAGCTATATTCCCACTTATACCCCATACAGTTACTCACTG